TACTCTGGCTGCATCATGTGTACATTGCTTTTTCACTCACACCTGTTGATCAGTGCTGAAACTGCTCATAATAAAACTCATTTTAATTTTTTTTTTCAAAAGAATTAGCAAATAGGGATTTTTGTCTTCACTTTCCTTTAGCTACCTAACACAAATATGATAATCCACATAAGGTGGATTTGTATAAACTGTAAGTCCACCGCAGAATATGTTTCAATATCCATCAGAGATTATTACCTCGTAACTTTATTTACTTGTTTCATATAATGCATGTTATGTGCACCTGTATTACTGTTCCTTTCTAAGGAGTTACCGAATAAAACTTTATAAATATATAAAAAAAAAGGTTGATTTGTATCAAATGTATTGCTATATTAATTGTATAATCCACTGGAATTGTGATGTTTATAATTGAAACGCCAATTTATAAACCAATTACATCTATTCATATACTTCCAGGTTTGGTTTATGGATCCAACCGCAATCGAAGCTCCCCACAGCCTGTGAACTTTGACCTATCACCCATGGCATCCCCAGAGAAGATTCTAAGTCCAGTTGAGCTGAGCCAGGATTGGCAGTCCACCGAATCACTAGAATCACCTGATTTTGATCAGATACTACAAAAAGCTGCAGAAGCTGAAGAAACTAAAGTGACCACGACAACAGGCAAGTCGTCTGAAAGTGGACGAGAAGATTCAACATTTCTTGATGAGAATAAAGAGTGGCAACAGGTATGGTTACTATGGTGATATACAGTAAATTAGTTTTCAAGTTCATTGCAATAGACTCCATCGTATATTACAATGTAGTGACCACTGTATTTGCTCCATCCACTCATATTGAAAATGCCTATTATTTTTCGGCTGAATTTAAACTTGTCCATACTTTATTTTCCAACTCTGCATGTAAAATTAAACAGAGCATTAGTTAGTTGTACTATTTTTCTAATATCAATATCATTTTCAACCTGTCAAGGTGTCTGATATACTGTCTTCCATTGGTGCCGCTATGGTCAGAGAATCAGTCTATAGCAGAGATTTGGAGGATAAATTTGAGAAAATGATGGCAGGTGAGGAAGTTTTCACCCTCTGTGATATATTTGTACTGGCCAAATATGGGCATTTGTGCGCAAGCACAGGAGATGACCAAATATGAGCATTTGTGTGCAAGCACAGGAGATGGCCAAATATGGGCATTTGTGCTCAAGCATAGGAGATGGCCAAATATGGGCATTTGTGCCAAAGCACAGGAGATGGCCAAATATGGGCATTTGTGCCAAAGCACAGGACATGGCCAAATATGGGCATTTGTGCCAAAACACAAGAGATTGTGAGCGGTCAATATGTGCTGTACCAGTCTGCAAAATATCCAGGATATTCATAATATTGAATTTGCATGAAAGTGAAAGCAAAATAGCTATAATTTTTGCTAATGAGACATGTACTTTGCACACTGATATTTTTCTGTCCATTTGTTCTCTCTTCCTTCTTCATGATGTAGTCCAAACATAGCCTGTATGTGGTCAAAATAAATAACCCTCAAACCATCATATACTACAGGTGTAGCTCTTCACTTTGCACACCAAATACAATCTACTGTTCGTACTTACCCACCTTTTTCTTTCTACCATCATTATTTACCATTTTCAGCCTCGGTGAAACCAGAAAACGTTGCTCAATGGTTGGACAAGTTGGGCCTCCTACAGTACGAAAATACATTCCTAGCCAATGGTTTTGATGATTTAAACTTTCTAGTGAGTACTTATGCTGATTTGAATCTCATACTAATTCTCATTCTATGTGCATTTTGCAGCCACTCAGTTTTTGTCACTAGAAATTCTCACAATTTGAACTTCCGAAATTTTGTGAAATGGTTTTACTAACTTGTTCTTGTTTGGACTGGTTTGTTACAGAGTGGTTCTATTCTAGAAGAACAAGACCTAATAGACATGGAAGTGCAAGAGAAGAGTCATCGACAACTCGTACTGGAAACAGCTAAACTTTTACCTAATTTCAAGCCAATTGGTGAGACTTCAGTTTGAATCAATGCATGCTTCCAGGCTTCCACCAGATACTTGCATTTTACTTTAGAATCTTCCAATGAGTGGATAGAACCACCTTACACACACTATCCACCCCACCCCAAAACTCCTCCAGTGACTATTGCAATATGGATGTTATGCCACCATGCCAACATTGTAAATTTTTGTTTCATGTATGATATTGTGTGCACACTTGTACACTATAGCATTCCCACTTTCTATGATCATGTATAGGCTTTAGAATTTGTACATTTCATGAGAAATCCAACAAATCCTGCAATCAAAATTAGAAATGTGTTAATATAAAGTAAAATGACCTTGATTAGACATCATGACTTATATATAATACAAAGTGAAACATTATATAAGCATGTCAAGATTGCTGCTAACATGAGTTGTACATGTTACAACTATTTACAGCAATTACTGGTAATTTAAAGGATGATGGTTGTCGTGTGAGATATGGATTTCTGATTAGCACGTCGCCTGCTGAAAGCCTCCGCGAATGACTAAAAAAACAAACAGATCAGGACTTTAATTGTTGTACAGATGGTGCATACAAAAAAAAACATGCTGTCGTTGTTTAACTACGTAAATCTGGGATGACTGGAACGTATACAATGACTCTACAGAGTCAAAGTCGGTATTTAGTGCACATTGCGATCAGATTACATTTATGCGTGAATTCATTTTTATCAACACATGCTTTGCACTACAATCATTTCACCTTTAATTGTTTATTTTCTGACATTTGCTAGAGTAATATTTCTTTTTTTTTTAATATGACAGAGGAGAGTACTATGCCCTCTAGTGTTGATGAATGGTTGAATAATTTACACTTATCAGACTACACTGATCGATTTCATAAGATGGGATTTTCGACGATGGAAAGAGTTCGTCATATATGGGAAGTGGAGCTCGCTAATGTAAGTACAATCATCAAAAAAAATCAATAGTTTCATGTTCATTTGCCAAAAAAGATTGACTATCTGTCTTGATGAGTTAAACCATACACATTAGAGAAGAATGTATAAACATCCATCCATGTTTGACCTTTCTTCATGATGCGTTTGGAAACTAAACTATTTGGACAATGTATGAACACTAATTATATACATTGATAGCATTCCCAAGTTGTCATTGTGAAAATATTTTGTGATTATTAAAGTTTGATACGAGGAAACTCTGTATTGAAATATTTCATTAACTTCCTTCTTTCTGTATTGGCTATGTTTAGGATTTAAGGACATGAGCATTTCTTTCTTCCACTGATTTGACTTTGTGTTTGATATTTGTCCATTGCTTTGTGTTCTTGGATAGTCTTTATATTATTATAGTTGCCTATAGTTTAGGCATGTACTATATTTTGTATGGCCGGTTTCCCAGTAAACTTGGTCACCATGACAACTAGCCATCCTATGTTTTCCTTGGTAAATACATCACAGGTAGATTTTGATTTATTTTATTTACTCTATTTAGTAGCACACACCACAATTACATAGATGACATAGTTTAATGATCCAGAAACTAAAAAATGAATTTGTTTTCTAGATGTGCTTCTGATAGAGCAAAGATGGTGAATGTTATTTCTACTTTTTAATACCAACATGTGCTTCCACTTCCATCTTGCCGCAATAGTTGTCAGGTTGTTCCAGGCTAATACACGCTACGTTACATCGTTATTTTGAGATTTTTCAACCAGTTTTATGACGGTCTGTTGGCTCTAAAAGTCGCTGAATTTGTTCTCATTCATCAAATCATAATAATGTTCTACTTGCTTCTTTATACAGGTACTGCAGATAAACACATTGGGTCATCGAAAAAGAATTCTTGCCTCACTCAGCGTAATATCATCAAAACGACGGGAAAGCATTACTACAAAGAAGGTTTTCCGACCATTGTCATTTACATCATCCAAAAACTTTGAAGTAGTAAGTTGTCTTCTATTGTGGAATAATGGATTTCTGTGACTCCTTTATTAGCCCCCGCCGGATCTGCGATCCGGGTGGGGGGTATTAATTTGGGTTATGTCTGTGCAAATGTGTGTGCACATTTTTATGTTACCAGCTTTTTCTCGCACATGTGTGATCCAATTCAGTTCAGAGTTGGTACAGAGACAGAAATTGATGGTGCTATGGTGCACATCAAGTTATTTTTTCGAGTCTTCAAAGTTTCACTGTGTTTTTCCTTGATTTTTAACATTTTTCCTTCAAAATCCGACTTTTCCCAAAATTACCCGAGTTTAATCCGAGTTTTGATGACGCTTACGCAGTTCTCGTCTCGGTGGAAATCAGTCATTTTTGTGAGGATATTGTATCCCGGAATTGTATCTTTATTTGCGCAACGCTTATATGAACAAAATTGTGTCTCGTCAATTTCAAAGGTAAGAAACTGTGCTTGTTATGGTATTTATACACTTTGTATTATCGTTTGTGTCTCGGGTTTGGTGATTGTGAGAAACTATTGCTAACCTGGCGCACGGTTACTAAAAAAGAGTAACCGTGCCTGGCGAGAGTTTCGCCAGAAAAACTGCCTTTTTATTATGGTTGTAGGAACTGATTATGTATTATGTAAATTGAAAGTTTACCTCGTGATTTAAGAAGTTTGCAGTGCTCTCACCGGGATTCAAACGTCGTGGTGGTGTCGGCGCAATCCGGGGGTGCAATGCTGCTCTGAGACGCTTGCCAGACTCTGCCTCGCTCAAAATCATTATCGCCATGCTTGATTTCCGCAACATTTACATTTGTTTATGATTTTTACAGCTATTCCAACCGGTACATTTCT